CAAAATATTGTAATTTTAATATTTTGTAGAAAATATTACGATATATTGTTGCAATATTACAATTCAGTAAATAAGTGCGCGGCTCCCCCACGAGAGAGATACGTTTCTCGTAAGGAAAAAATCCAGGACTCTTTATTTTTTTAAAGGAGTACGCAAATCGAGTTAACGAGTCTCCGGAAATTCTCTACTTTTTTTTAATGTACTTGCTAGGCTCCCGAATATTTTTTTATTATAACTTTATTATATGTATTTTGGAATATAATGCTAAGCAATAATATAATTAATAAAACTGGAATAATTATTGAAATTCTCTCTCTCTCTCCATTTTAATAATTATTTTCAATTTTAATAATTATTGAAATATTACATAAGGTTATAACAATATGTATGCAATATTTCTCCAAATATTGCAGCAACATTTAATTTTTGCGGACATAGGAATATTGCTTCAATATTGTAGCAATGTTTTATGAAATATTGCAATCTCTCAAAATATTGCTGCAATATTCTTGCAATATTTCGTGCTGTAAAGGCTAAGACGTTATACTTATTAGGTGTTAAACTTAATTCCTGCCGTTTTTCGTCTCCAAAATTGATTTGTTTCGAAGGGATATACCTTAATCAAAGTATTATTAATAAAGTATTATTAATTAGTAATAAAGTAGAAAATGGAGGAAATTACTTTGATTAAGGTATTCATTCATCTTCCCTTCGAAACAAATCAATTTTGGAGATGAAAAACGGCAGGAATTAAGTTTAATACCTAATAAAACAGTCTTGATTTAAGAACGGATTATAAATACTGTGGCCAAAGATTGAAAATCGAATATACAGGGTGTTTGAAAATTACCGGGTAATCGATCACGAGCAGGTGGAACGGACCGAATTGAATCGAAAATTCTTATACCATTTTGTAGGTTGCGCAATAGTTAACGAGATATTACCGTTTAAAGATAGTCGAATAAGCGCGTCCGGCCGGCCTACTGCTGCCGAATATACAACCTACCGTCCCGACCGATCGCACGGCGCACGGGCCGCTGGGAGTGGGGATGGCCTGCTAGGGGGCTGCGTTCCACTTAACGCTCGCAATGCTCGCGAGCATCGTTTGTCCTTGTTCAACATTTGATAAACGACAAGGATGAAATGATTCCACGAGCGTTATGAGCGTTAAGTGAAACGCAGTCTAGGCGTGCCGTTCGAGTCAAGACGTTTAGTGGCAGTTCCCGCTCCCCGCGCGTCTAGCTATTGACGGCGGATATTTGGCGCTTTAGAAATAATATCTCGATTATCGCGAAAATTTGGAAATTGGGAATGATCAAGAATCTCTTCGAAAACTCAGTTTAGTTCGTTCTAAAGCGTGCACATGTACATACAGAAAAATGTTACATAAATATTATTTGTTTCCAGTAAATAATAAGTGTATTTTAAAATTATATTATTAAACAAAATTCTTTATAAAGATAATCGTTACTCTAAAGAAGAATAAAAATTGCGTCCTCTCTTAGCATTCAAATGATATTTTTCTGCATGCACACGATCGCTAATGGAAATTCGAACACCCGCATAAATTTCATCGAATGATCATGTAAAAAATTAAGACATTATAAAACAGCAATTGTATTATTGTTTAAATAATTTTAGATCACTTGCACACATACTACCAATTGCAAAAGTCTTATAAATTATTTTTAATTTAATATGCCAAAATGGTTTACCTTTATTTCGTAAAATTTGATATCACAATCGGTAAATTTCAAAAATTCCCTATTATCATATTGAATTAAAAATAATTTGTAGAGCTTTTGCTAGTCTATCCTTCACGTATGGGGATAGGCTGGCAACATACACCATAGAATGAGCCCACATTTGTGTTCTCTGAGCGAATTTTTGAAATTTATTAATTATACTCAATGTTCCACGAAGTAAAAACGATACTTTTTGACATACAAAATTAAAATTAATTTATAAAGCTTTTGCAATTGTTAGTATGTGTACAAACGACCTAAAATATATTTAAAAAATAATACTATTGCTGTTTTGTAAAATCTTAATTTTTTACATAATCTCTCGATAAAATTTATGCTAGTGTCTGAACTTCCATGAGCGGTAGGTACACGAATACTAACGGCGCACCCAGAAAGATTTCTTCCATTCAAAGAAATGTATCTTTTCTGTTGAAGAAATAATGGACTGGTTTGATGTCAAAGAAAAATCTTGACTCGCGAGCCTACACCTAGAGAAAGGTTTCTTCTATTCAAAGAAATGTTCCGTTGCTATACAGTTCAAGACGAACTTCTGTAGCCCTGTGCTTTGAGTGGTTTAAAAAATTCAAAAGTGGCGATTTTGACGTGAGAAACGAAGAACGTGGAAAACCACCGAAAAAGTTTGAAAACAACGAATTGCAAGCATTGTTGGATGAGGATGACGCTCAAACT